TTCCTCTAGTCTCCTTTTTTCTTCTGACAGTTTTTGTCGCTCTTCCTCCTCTTTCCTGACCTTTTCCTCTTCTTGTCTCAACTTTTCTTCAGCCAACCTCTCCAGCTCCTTTTGTTGTTTCCTGATGGCCTCCTCTTCCTCTTCTCTCATATCCTTTTCCAACTTGGTCTTTTCTTCTTCCTCTTTTCTTAAATCCTTAATATTTTCATCTTCCTCCTCCTTCTGTTCCTCCTCTTCTTCTTCCATCCAGGGTGAATACTCCCTCACTGCTTTAAGCGAATCCACAGATGGAGACGGGTTTTCCAGGACATCCTCCATTGATCCACGTCCTGAACTTGACAGGCTGAAGCTGGATCCGGAGCGAGACGTCCGAGGCGGCGGCTGCTCGCAGTAAACATGGCTGCCGTTGATGCACAAATTGCTCTGCTCCTGTTTTTGTTGGCCAGAGGACGAGTCTTTGCTGTCAGAGCTGCTGGAGTGCTTATGTATCTTGAACATGAACTTCTTTTTGCCTGAAAACACACAAGGAAAATTAACATGCATGCAGAAAGTTAATGGAGGCATTATATGAAAAAGTGCTGACCCTCGGAGGAGTCCACGTTCAGCCCAGACGACTGGCTCCCGCTCAGCGAGGAGTTCTTCGCAGGCAGGACGGACATGGACTGAGACAAGTTCTTCTGCAGGTTGGATTTCGGCGAAAACAAAGACATCCTTTTGCTTTGCTTCGATTTTCCTCTCTCTCTGCCTCCATTAGCGTCCTCTTCTTCGCTGTCCGTCAGAACCTGAGTGGGCGAAGGCACCACACCTGATGAGGAGTCCAGCTCCTTTTTCTTTCCACGGACTTTATCCTTAAGCTTTCCCAGTCGGGAGCGGGACTTCCCTGCAGCGGAGAGGTCGAACATGCTGGCGGTCATGTTGTTTCTCATGAACTGGACGTCCAGAAGGACCTCTCCACGGTCTTTGTCCGGCTTACCGGTTTTGTCCAGCAACTTAAACCACCTGGAAATGAAATACACAAAATTAGGAATCCATCTTTAAGTTGTTGTTGTATGCACAGATTATTCTGAAGAAATAAATAAAGAGATAAAAGATGACTATTCAAATTCCTGACTACAGCTGCAAAAGTATTGAAACCAACTCAACTTTTTCATGTTTTAACCACAAACCTCAGGGGGTTTAATGGGATTTTATGTGGCAGACCAGCACAAACCAGTGTGTACTTGCAAAGTGAAAGACAAATAATTTGTGGTTTCAAACTTTCGTTTGTTTTGTTGTTTTTTAAACACAAATGAAGATTTGGAAATTGAGGTGCTGACTTCAATCAGTAAAACCAAGGAGAATTATTAAATAGAGGGGAATAAATTTAACATTTTGAAACTTTTTCTTCTTAATAATAAAAAGGGTTTGCAGCTTTAAGCTTAAATCACTTCCTGTTTGAGACGCAAACATCCCTTCATGCTCCAGACATTTAAATCCACTGAAAATTAACAAGCTCCTGAATTAGTCCTGTTCTCAAACCGACCAGATTAGACTTTGCTTCCCTCATAATTTACAAGCAACAAATGCCCAGTTAATCCCATTTTTACCTTTTGAACAATTGGTGTAAAACAAAAAGCAGTAAACGACATTACAAAGAAATTCTAAAACGGATTTTTGTCAATTGAAAAGTTCCCCAGCTTCATGAAACAATTGATGTTTGGTGGTCGGCAGCACAATTTTTACAAAGAAAACCAGAAGAGCCCAGTCAGCATTAAATAAATGCCTATCGGGCAAAAAGCTGAGGTCAGCTCACCACTGAGAAAACGGCTTCGGCTGAAATCTGGACTCCAAAGGAAATGAGGAAATCAGGAAGGGGCATTGTGAGTGTAAGCAGAAATATGCTGAGCTGTAGCTTCAGGCTTTTCTTTGTTTTAAGAACACGACTGTCTGGGCATGTTTTCATACTTTTGAGTTTATATGTGACACAGTATTTACTCCCTGAATTTACAGGCTTCCCAGGAGGCAGCAGACATAAAAAAACCTCAGAGGATTGCTCTCCTCTCATTGTCCTGCACAAGTTATGTTGCTTAGATTCACTGCTCTCCTCCTTCCTCAGGAATGCTTCAGATGTGTGGCACAAACAAAATTAAGGAGGGAAGCCGCCTTTTCCTGGAATTTGATACACGGTTCAGTCACTGCTGTCACAGCCGTCCCCTCCACCCCGGCTCCTGCTCACCGATGGGAAAACCGGAAATTATCTGCAAATTTCAGGCCTTGAGATTGTAAATAATCTGTGCATCCAGCTTGATTTATTCAAAGAACATCCTTCAGATATGAATTGCTAAATAGATACTGGATTTATAATGTTGAGGTGAGAGGGAAGATGATAAATAGAAAACATTCAGCTTTTTTTTATTTCCTTGCTTAAACAAGTCTTCATTTTATTAATCCTGGCATCTTTTGGACACTTTCACTGGCAGATTAGATCAGATTTTCTTAGACTAGCTGTTTAGTTTGCACAGAATGAAACTGTTCTGAGCTAAAAGAATTTAAAAATATACATATGTAGGCAAATCCTTTATATTCTGCTGCAGTAATAAATGAAGAAAAAAAATGAATCCAAGCGCATGTGCAAGTTTTTAACAAGATTTAAAGCAAAAAAGAAATAAATAAATAAAAATCTACCCAAGCCTAAGAGATTTGAGCTCTCATTGTATTTGTTAAAATTTGCAACTTGTTCTGCTTAATAAGCTCAGCCTTCAGGAGTGGATTTATTAAGCAGCTCTGGGCTCCACCAAGCAGCAGCACAGCCAGGAAAAGGCTTGAATAATCAACGCCTAGACCGCAGAAGAAGACCTTCGAAGAGAATCAGCGCACGCTCCGCGACATCTCCAACCTTGGTGGCATCTCCATGTTCAACACTCGGCTGAATGTGAATTCGGCAAACAAATTTCCAAACGGGGTCTCGTGAAATTTTACACAAGGTCTGCAAACATGGTGCAGATTTATATTTTGGACTGAATTTTTAAATAAGTAAACATTTCCTCTAATAACTTTCCATCTTTGCTAAGCCTTTATTATCCTTGATTCATCAACTGAATACAGTCATATTCAATAAATCAGAATATGAAGTCCACCGAGGCTTGACTGATTAAAAAGTACCTTTAGAAGATAATTTTTAAGCAGGCAATAAATATACTTTTTATTAAGGTCACATTTGTGTATTAAAATGGTTTTTATTGGTCCGATATTATAATTTTTAATGTGTTTTTTATTAACTGTAAGCAGAAAATCACAATTAACAGAAATAAAGGTTTGAAGACAACAGCTACATTTAGTCACACCTTCATTCCTTTGCTTATTTCTGCCACTTACACCAATGATATTATTTTCAGAGAAGAATCTGGACACATCGGTGAATTGAGAAGTAAAATTTTTGACAGCCATTTTCCCCTTAAACCAGGGAGACGTACCTGTGGCATATTCTGCTCTAAACAACCTTCAGTCATGGAAAAATATTCAAGATATTCCATCGAGATCATCCCTGACTTCAAGGACGGGAGAGTAACTCTTAATCATAGTAATCAATATTTACTTCAGGATTTTTGGATGTTTTTAAATCAAGCCTAAAAATGTATTGTGGGCATTTTACCGTTTGTTTAGTATTGTACAACAATAGAGCATCACGGGTCACAAAGCCAGACACAGACTACAAATCAGCCAAAAAGAGAAGAAGCAAGTTCCTCAAGTGAAATCAGAGGGGAAGTTGCAAAAGCATTTGGGTGGAGCCCAACACACTCTGCATGAGGTGGAATTAAACTGGCGTTTGCTCTACAGATGGTTTTAAAGCTCTCTGAGCTGGTGCAAAGTTTGCTACTTTACTGGACAGATGGTACCAGAGGAGGATAACAGATGACTTAACATTTTTTTTTTTTCCTTTGTCTTGCAGATATCCATCATACTTTCTCTGGACACATCCTTCCTGGGCCGCTGATAACACAACGGCCCTGAGTGACTCAAGAATTTCTTATCACAGAGCACAGCTGGGAGCGGGAGAACAGCTGAATAAGTAACAATGTAGCAGTGAGAAAGTCCAAGGACTAAAACTGTCCGAGTCATGTTCCTGGATCAGAAAGGCCAAAAAGGAAGATGAGAAGAGTTTTAATGGTGCATTTAGAATTGTTCTTTCAAACGGGGCTTATAAAACAACTTTATTTAAAATAAAGAAATAAGTTGTGAACAAGTACAGCAAGTTTTACTGCCGTTATTCAGATTCACAGAGGGTCTAAATTATCCTGAAGGAACCGTCAGCAAGATTACGGCCTAAATCTGGCTGGAGGATTGACCACAAGCTGACTGGTTTCCTGGCAGAGTCTTGGCTTTCAAACAGTCCATAAATGTTCAATGTGGCTGATGTTCAGGATATCCCAAAAGCTCCACGTTAGCCTGATTTATCCATTAGAAAACCAGGCCTAAAGTGCCGTGCTGTTTGCTGCTGAGTTGAAATGAAAATTTTGAGCTAATACTTTATTTCACCAAGGCTTTGCAATGCACCAATACCACAGATAATGAGATAAACACTCGAAGTAATGATGACGACTCCTTTGACAACATATGATCTGTAGTCTGGCTGTACAGGCACAGCCATCGTCTAGCTGGAAGACCAATTTGTGCCCAAGCCTCTAGTTCCTGGCTTCAATTTTTAGTTTAAGCATACCACAGGATACAACTCCAAAACTGTTTTAATGTACCTGCTGCTCACAGTCGCTGTACTTTAATCAATGACTGCAGATTGTTCTAATACCTAAAAAAAGCTGAAATTTGATGATGTGCCACTTTCACCAAGACAGACAGTCTCACATTTTACAGAAGCCACAGATGGAGAATGATGAAACAGGATAAAAATTAGGTTGATTCGACCTGCTTCATGTTTTATTTTATGACTTCCTGGTGCTCTTATAAAAAAAAAAAAACAGGAATGGAGGGACAAGTTGTACGAAGCGTTGACAATTCTTTCCCTGCCATCCTGACCTAATCTTTACCAAACTTTAAAACTTTATTCTAAATTAATAATCATAGTTCATGAGCCGTGCTGTGGTGAAACAAGGCCTTCCTATTTCACATTTAAACCTCAGCGGTTCAGCTGTGAAAAACTGGCCTTGCTTGACTTTCACTGTTGCCGTCAATGTTTGTTTTCTCATTGATAAAATGGTCAGGAATGCGAGGCCAAAGCTGGAGGGAGTCACTGAGCTCACAGAAAGATCAACACAGATGAGCCGTGTCTGAATTCACTGCAAAAGAAACGCGCAGAGATCCTCGAGTGTTAAAGACGACCGCTGAGTTTCATATGGCTAGTTACAAATGGAGAGAACAAAGCAGATGATTTTTTTTTTACATATCTTAGTGTGCTAATAAATCCACGGCACCTGAGATTAAACTTTTAAAACAACTAGCAAGGTCTTGTCGGCTATTATCATCTAGTTTAGAGGGGAAAAACATGATTCTTTAAAATCAGGTTGGTTTTACTGAACTGGGTTATGTTGCCGTTTGCGTTTCCATAGCAAGGCTGAAAAAGCACACGGTGGACGCGGAGAAACCTCCAATCTAATGGGAAGCAGAATAGAAAAAAAGAGAACTATTGTTCATAGGAGCGTTTGTGACCTCTGCTCACTGATTTGAGGCTTTGCTATAAAGCTAACGGTGTGTGAAAAATCGTGAAGGTCGTAGAGACTGTTTGGTCGACTTAATCCATCATGAAGGGGCCTGTTGTAGAGGCAAAAACTTGATCATTTTAATAATTAGATAAGAGGTAGAAATCAATTTGTGCCCAATAAAAAGGTTCCTTCTTTATTTAATTCAATTAACATTTGGTGTATAGAAAAATGTTCAAGTTCAATAAAATATCTGAACTCTGGATATTCTTCTCCTACAAAGTTTATATTGTCTTTCCTTCTGTATAGAGGGAAATGAATAAGCTCAGTCAATGAAAATTAATCTCCGAACCAACTGCATTCATTTGCTTGAGTAAGTAATGCTGCTTGGCATCCGCCAAGGCTGCAACCAGGGAAACAAATCCTCTAAGCTGCAACGTTGCAAGTGGGCAACAATCGGAAACCAAACCCACGTAAATGGGCCTGTGCAGTGATGCATGGCCGAGTGTGTGCGATCTCAAAGGGCTGGAAGGTGCAGAGATCACGGATTCGTCAGAAGTAAACACACAGGACAACTTTTTCCACAAATGCTGCTGCTGCTGGTTTGGTCGTCTGCAATTTAAAAATCGAGACTTTACAAAGGGATTATGGGAGTTTGGAGCTCTGAGACCACAAAGGTTCAGCATGACTGACAGCAGAACCAAAGAAAAAACACACACACACACATTAAGTTATGTCTCTGTGGCGCAGGTGGAAGGCAATTACTTTTACCTGCTAATATTTAGTAATAAGGAAATGCAAACTCACTAAAACTTTCTGCTCAATGTTTATTCAGGAAAACCAGAAGGCCAGTAGTTAAATCTGTTTGCATAACAACTTTAAACTATTGAGTTGTACTTTGCACTTTTATATTTCTTTTTAATCCGGCGTTAGCATTTCTAATTTAAATTCAGTGTGATTTTTTTTCTTTCCACAGTGAACTTACTCTGTCTTGTTGCGGGTTTTGTCCTCACTGAGCTGCAGCAGGTTGATGACAGCCTGGCCCAGCAGCTTGTCAGGTCCCACCAGAGCGCGGTGCAGGACCTGGACGTGCAGCGTGCTGCGGTCCTTCCCTCCACCTCCTCCTCCTGCCTGAAGCAGCAGCGGCGGCAGGTCAAAGGAGGCTTCCTCTTTCCACACCGGAGCCACGCTTTTCTCCGCCACCGACGTCTGGTACTTGTCCTTGCCCACTTGCATAACCGCATACGCGTCATTGGTGCCGCTTTTCCCCTTTATCCTGAGGCCTCTGGCTTGGAGCACCGTTACCTGGACGCTTGTGGGACTCCACTGCTGATCCGCTAAAGACATGCTGACAACACCTGCTGCTGGCGCCGTTACAGAGAGAAACACCAAAACAAAACGCAGCGGGGCCAACACGCCACCTGGCTCGCCGCGAAACTGAGGAGGAGGACGGAAAAGTTAGTTGAAGAGCCCAGCGGGACTTCAGGAACCAGCTGATTGGGCGTGGTCACATCAAGAGGGGGGGCCTCGGTTTGGAGAAGCCACGCCCACCTCAAACTGACAGGTGGCTGGATCAATGAGCCTCACTATGAATGAGCCACACCTGTCAGTGCGGTCAGAATCAATACATTAGAGGTTCCGTTCCTTTGAGGCTCGTTTATCAGATTAGAAGTACCTGCTTAAACAATCTTTAAGCAGGTTTAGTTAAACCCACATTTGAACCAAGATAATATAATGGTGTGGACTTTTTCAAGCTCTATGGTAAAAAAAACAACAACAAAAAACATTTTGTTGCTCTGCTCCATCAACGCTGAGCACACTGCAGCAGGATATGAAACTTTCCACTTTGATTATTTTGGGACTATTCAAAATTAAGATAAAACGAGAAATCTTCTTATGAAACTTGCTCTTGTTTGTGGCTCACATTTTAATTGTTTTAATCAAAACTCTTGGATCTTGGATCTCAGTGAGACAAGCTGTATAAATAAAGGGGTGGCAGGGGGGGAAATGATACTGTAATTTTAAATGCCGTGTTTCCATTAGCTGTAAGAGAAAAATCCACATTATTAACAAAATGAAGTGGTATGGATTTGAAGGAAGTGTCTCATTTAGTAAAAGTTATTGAAATTTATTAAATAATAACAATTCAATGATGATTTTGATTATTCAGTTGACATATATGCACTTAATATATAATAAAAGTCAAAACTGTAAGAATATGCTACCTACTTGATACCATCTCTGAATGTTCAACCTGTCAAACAATGACATGTAGATGCACATTCTTTTTTCTTTTTTTTTTCTTAGCATTTTTACATATATTCTGTGTTTTTGCCTCTTGCCCAATAAGGCGAGTGCAGAACCCTGAGTCCTAATGAGCAGCGAGGTTTCACCTGTGTCTCCATGTTTTTCATTTTGGACCTCCACGCTCGTTACAGAACTGATTTTCTGCTTCTTCTTTTGCATCCACCACGCCTCCTGATCCTCAAAATGTCATACCTAGAAAATGTGTTAAATTCAGATGAAGATTTGCTGTTTTTGTACAAACAGTGACTCCTGCTGTCAGAGGAGGCAAATAAGATAAAAACACGTTTATTGAAATTTGATAATTCAGTTCAGTTTTTATATATGTAGTGGTCACAGCTCAAGGCACTTTACAAAAAAAAATATTAAAAAATTAGTCTAATCATACAGACAAATTTAAAGTCAAGTACATAATTTCCTTACAATACAATGAGACTCGGTTAAAATAAACCAGAAATGTCCAGTGAAATAATAAGCCAACAGCTGTCAAACTAACAATGTGTTTCACCTTCGTTAAAGATTAAAGCTGCAGACAAACATAGAGCCTTGAGCCAATTAGTAAACTGACTTACAAATGCTGGCAGCTCTGTAGTCTCAGTTATGTAACGTCTGCAGTCACTGCATCTGTAAGGTTCTGCTAAATTAGGATTTTACTGGATCACAGAACGTGATTTCATAATAAATCAACAGAGAGATTTGGGAACCAAATAGACTTACTCTGTAATAGTTTGAACTTTAAAGTTAACAACTCTTCCAATTTTCTGACCTGGAACCAATTTTATGTGAAAAACCTAAAGACACAATCTTCATTGTTTGTTAAAGAGTCTTACCACCATGTGTTGTATTACTAAACAAAAGACAATAGCCTGTAATTATGCTGGTTTTCTTCTTTGTCTCCTGTCTGGACATCAGCTTTCCGGATGGTTTTGGTATTCATGGTCACCCAGAAGTATTTTGCTGTAAAGCTGCTGCTGTTCTTCTTTAAAAGTATCCTTCACTTTGGTTCGTTTCAGTCCGGCATCCCTGGGTGAGCATATATGAATAGAAAATGCACTTTCACTCAGAAAATCAATGTTAACGCTAATGTTTCCCACTGACCCTGAAGGGAGCAATTAGAGTTTGAGCCTCTGATTTAGCTCCGGGGTTTAATACTGTCAAAGATGAAATCCCCAGTAATGTGTTTCATGAACCAAGGCCGGTGTTCTGGACTATTATTACTGTCCCCATAAAAATGTGAAATGAAAATGATAAATAAACTAAATGACATTTAAATAAAACAATGACTCACCATATGAGGTCCACCAGCCCTCCCTGGGCAGCTATGGCAGCTTTTACTCGATTGGCGAACTGCATGGCATCCTCTCCTTCCTACAAATTAATTTTTAAAAGAAATGAAAATAAAAAAGACATCCTCTTTTCTTAATGTAACTTTACATACTTTGAATAATGTATACAGTCATATTAAAGGTGATGTTTTCCTGTCTTTATGTGCTGAGAGTTGAAAAGATATTGGGTTTTTAGTTTATACAAGTCATTTTAAGCTCGCCATTAAAATAACTGTTTGAGGTACAGTATTTTCAGCACTATAAGGCGCACCGGATTATAAGGCGCACCTTCAATGAATGGCCTATTTTTAAACTTTTTTCATATATAAGGTGGACCACATTATAAGGCGCATAGAATAGGTTACAGCAGAGGCTGGAGTTACGTTATGCATCCACTAGATGGAGCTGCACTAAAGGGAATGTCAACAAAACAGTCCGACTTCGGTTGGCGAGGAGAGCCTTCCACGACTGGGCCGGGGTGTGGCCGGACGATGGTCACCCTTCTCCGTTCGCGCACAGCATGTTGGTGGAGACAACCTGATTATAGATGTCGGTAGGTAGATAAATCAGTCAAACTTTATTAATAGATTACAAACCAGCTTCTGACAACTACCCCAGCATGCACCGCGCTTCTTCTTCTACGGGCGAAAATGAAGTCGGCAGCTGCTTACCATAGTTGCTAGACCTGTTATGCCTCAATATTGGTCCATATACAAGGCGCACTGCCGGCTTTTGAGGAAATTGAAGGTTTTTAGGTGCGCCTTGTAGTGCGAAAAATACAGTATTTTAAATACCCCACCTTCCTGTTCATCGGTGGCAAGTACCAAACGCTGCAGACGATGGCCCAGCTGCTCATCATCCTCAGAAGATATCCCATCAAACCAAATTTACTGCTGTTCCAAAAAGCATCTGCAAAGCGAGGATCATACTGAAAAAAATAAAAAATAAATCTGGTCTCAGTGACTGCTATGAACAACATGAGCGCAGCAGAGAGCGCAAACACCCAGCGCTACCTTAATGGCGGCAGGATAGACGGTGCAGCCGATTTCAAAGCTCCCCTTCCTAAACATCATCACTGATGTGTTGTTGACACAAGTACCTGCAAATGAAATAATGTGAGGATTTTAAAACAAGTGTTTGCAAATTTAGCAAAATATATTTGTTTTTGTTCTCATCCCTGTTTTTTGCTTTAAGACACTTTTTGCAGCTTGACTGAAGGAACTTTTTAAATTACTCTGAAACATTTCCGTATGCGCTCTACTACTTTATCATAGGTACATCCCGACAGTACAGTTAGATCTTGTTTTTGCTTTCAGATGACAGATTTGGCATCTGGTGAGACTAATTTCTGCTATTGTAGATAATCTGTTTAAAACGTGTTTTTGTTGTTTGTTTTTTTTTTTTTTTTTTTTTTTTTTTTTTTTTTTTTTTTTTTTTGGGATTTTTTTCCTTTTTTTTCTTTCCCCCCC